GGACAAGAGCCCAGTGCCCCTGCCCCAGAGGCTGCCTCCAGAACAACTTACTTGGTGACCCTGGACCATCATGTCTCCTGACTGGACTTCAGTGGCCCCATCTATATAGTGGGCTCTTCATAGCCACCACCTAGGGCTACCGTGGGATGCCACTGAAATCATGGAGGGGTGGAGGAAACAGGACCAGAAACCCATTGCTGCTTTCTGGCCCAGAGCTCTGCCCGAGGCTGGCTGGAGGGCTAAGCAGGCAGAGAGCAGCTTCTGGGCACCCCCACTGTCTTCGCTGGCACAGGCCTGGCCAAAGGCACCCAGGAACTCTGAGCTCCCAACTCCAAACTGGGGCACTCTACTCTTATCACGTTACTAATCCAGCTTCTCCCTCTGCCTCCTGCTTAGTCAAGAGCCAAGTAGTTTCTACTTAAGTCCCACTCACATTTGTACTCTCCTCTCTGCCTCGCTCTGCCCAAGGGTTTGCATTGGCCAACTCTTGACCAAGTTACTGTCACAGCTTCCAAAGCTCTCTCCCTGTCTCCAGTTCTGTCTGCCTCAACTGCCCTCTGCCCTGCCCTGCACCAGAACATTTGTTCAGCATAGGCCAGAGGCCTCCATACCTTCCATGGACACAGGATGATGAACAGGCAGGACACACAGGGTCTCTGCTTGCACATAGCTCCCAGGCTAGTAGGACAGGTCCGTAATTAACAGGAGACCAAACAAGATAATACCAGGTGTGATAAATGTTGAGACAATGAAATGAGGTGGGGAAGGTTTCTGAAAAGTCTAGTTCTGTGTCCCTTCTCTGGTTAAAACCCATCTAAAGCAAATAGCAGAGTTGAAGGAAAATGTACAGCAGATAAGATAAAGCTCATACAAATTAATCGAAAGGTTAAGACTCCGATAGATAAATGGGCAAAGAACCAGAAAAGACTGCATGGAGGAGGAAACCCAGTTGGGTACAAGAGATTTGGGGGAAGATTCAACCTCAGGCATGGAATGGAAACAAATTTAAAAACCAAGTTAGTAACAACAGAAAACAAGGTAACACTCCCACCTAATACATTAGTAAAACGTTCTCAAAATGAGAACACTCACTGCCAGCAAGGGTGCTGTGAAACTGTCCTGCTGCTCTTTTGTTGGTTGCTGGAGGATTCTCTGTTGGCCCTTTTGGAAATTAATTTGGTAATATGCATCCGGAGTTAGGAAGAAATTTACACCCTCTGGCCACTTCTGGTAATCTACCCTAAGGAATCAAGTAAAAGGCGGCAGAGCTCTATGCACATAGGATGGGCACCACAAGCCATGTAACTAAGGAGGAGGGGCTCAAAGCCACTGGAAAGTCAAAGTTTAAGCTAGTTAATTCTAGTGCAGCTACTGAAAACACTTCTCAGACCAGAGTAAGATGAGAAAACTCAGGAGATAATGCTGAGGAGAGCCAGACTGCCTCAAAGGGGCCTCCAGTCACCACTCCCTCCCTCCTTCCCTGGCCCAGTGTGTCACCAGCCTGGGTCTAATCTTTGGCCATAGCCCACCATGTCCAGGCCTCTGGGATGAATCCCACCACTAGCATACAGGGGCCTCAGGCAGCAGGGTTGTGTCCCCCTTCCCTCAGCCCAGGCCTCTCTCTGCATGCTATCCGGATTCTGCTCCTTCTTCAGCATCCCCCCCTCCAAGGTGTTTTCCTCCAGGCAGCCTTTGTCCATCTCCTGGGCCAGCTTGTGGTCTCCCTCCTCTGTGCTCTAGACCTCAGTTCTCTGAGGCTGCATTGCTCCAGAACCAAAGTTTGGGAAGCCGGAGATGGGGGTTGGGGTCAGAGCAGGGCCCATTTCCCCTGTCCCACGTGCTCTTGGGCAGGGACTCTTTCTCCTAGTGTCTCCTGTCCCTCCATTCTTGCTCCCAGAGGCAGAGGTAGGCTGCCACCTGGCCAGGGGCCTCAAGCCTGGGGGCTCCCTCCAGGCCTGCTGCACCTGTGGGTGTTACCCTGGTGTGACCAGGGGTTGAAGGCACCAAGGTGTTCTGCAATGTGCCAGACTGGGGTGCCTGGCTTGGCTGTGTTGTAGGCAGTGGGGGTGGCAAGGTCCATCTCACTGGGAGGAAGAGAGACACATGCCCCCACCTAAGCTGTCATGTGGGCTCAGTGTGGTTGTAGAGAGGGTCGCTGACCCCCACAGAGGTAGGAGCTCCTGAGATGCCCAGGCATGCTTTCTGGAGAGGGCTTCCTGGAGGAGGTCATGGGAGCCTGGCTGGGAAGATGATGAGGAGGGAGGCAACTTCTGCAATGGCAAAGGAGAGGAAGCTAGGCTCCAAGAAACTCCCAGGGTGGGGTTGTGTAGGGGCCTTTGTCTTCCAACCTTGAAGAGTGGCTCCCCGCACCTTGCTCCCAATTCTGCTGGCAAGCCTGCCAACCGGGAAAGCGAGTGCTCTGTGCCCGGCGCCAGCAGAGCCCGCTGCGCCAGCAGCAGGACAAACTGGAACCTGTTGCCACCTCCGCACTGCAGGGCTGAGCACAGCCAAGCCCCCTTCCCCCGACCCTCTCCGGGCCAGCCCCGACTCGGCCCCCTGGCAGCGCCTGCTTGGGCACCCATTGGGGCTCCCACTCTGCCCCGCGCCTGCTCTCTCCGTGGACTAGTCAGGAGGAGGTGGGCAGCGTACCTGGGCCTCTCCAGGCCCCCTCAAGGCACTCTCCGCAGGGTGGGTGCTTTGCCTGAGGCCCCAGCCCACGCTGGGCGCCCCTGGCCTCCGCGGACCCAGTCACTGCCCCTTGGAGGCTGCGGGGACTTTGAGGGCAGTAGGCCCCTTGCGCGCCACATGTGCCCTCTGGTCCTCAGAACCACCGGAGAGTGGTGCCCAGCTTTCCCCTTCATCCCCCCCACTCCGAAATGCACGGTTCCCGCCGGCCCAAGTGGCAGGCCAGGAGTACA